GGAGGAATTTGTCTTTTGTGGACAGAAGCTCCATGGAAGCAAGATAAATTACACTGGCACTAAAATCGTTATTATAAATATGGAAGCCCAGGGTGATGTTAGGTAAGAATTTGGTATTGTCATTTATCTCCTTTAAAGCAAATTCCAAAGCCAAGATATGTTGGTAGTGCTGTTTCAGGACCCTATGATGAGAGAAATTAACAGTGAAAAATGTTGATGTTTTAGCAAAGATCTTGTTTGAAATTAAATTTGGCCTCTTAATACCCATGATCATAACTTTTGGGAAGGTTACAAAACAACTCTGGTATCTTCTGGGAGACTCTCTGTGAATCTGTTCTTGGTTCTGTTATCGGCCATCTTCTCTTTAGAGGAAAAAGAGCAACAACTACAGGATCCATGACAATCATAGTGGATGGCTTATTTTCTCCCTTTGTCACCCTCAAATAAATGGTGGTCACCCAGATTCAGACTGAGAATATTGTATTTTAGATGCCAACTTTGAACTTCCTGTCCTTCTTATTCCCCTCTCATTCTTCAACTTGTGCAGAACATTCAGATTAAGACTGAAATTATTGTATATAGCAGGGCAAGTTTAAAACTGCCTCTCCTTTTATCCTCTCCATCCTTCAACCTCTGTAGTATAAGATATTTAGACCATTTGCATGGAGCATACAAAGATTAGGGTGAGGGCAATGAGGAGATAATTAGTCTCACAAACAAGCTTTTCATTCAGTTTACAACATTGGGAAGTAAATTATATTAGAATGTGCACGCATACTTGTTTCTACTCTTTCAAAATATTCTCTTAAAAGTCAAAGATATCTATCACCCAGTAGTATGGGTAGCAGGAAAAAAAGTAATAATTTGCAGATACATCTCACAGTGAAGAATTCCTAATCTGCTTCCCTTCCAAATGTCCTAGGATGGAAACTCACAAAATTTGGAGGGACATCACAGACAAATGACTGTTATTTTGAAAAACCCTAACCCTCACATTTTTAAACTATTAGTGTATAAGGACTGGAACCAGCATAAAAATGGACCTGAAGGTAGAATTCATCATGATAGGAGTCTGCCACCATTCTTAAAGAAGAAAAGGGAAACAGTATCCAATATTTTCTCAGAAATGACTAAAACAAACCAGGATCGACAAAGTCCCCTCCAACACAGAACAACAGAGAAACAGACCTAGAATATAATTGGAACACACATATGGTAGGATTAAGAAAATCCTTAATTCGGAGGAGATGGGCAGCATACAAATTTAATAAATAAATAAATAAACAAACAAACAAACAAATAAAATTGAGTGCCTTACACAAAATCACCAAAGAGTGCAGAAGAAGGGCGTTTTTCATATGAAGTAGGATTTGAAAAGTAGTAAGTGTGAGAAATGATGCCAGCAATTATGAAATCTCCAGACTTATAATATTTATGATGAATAGGAAGAGGCTCACTAACATTACATCTAAAGCTAGGAATTGTGCACACTGCCAGTGGAAGCAGCACTAATATCAGCAACACCAATGTTATCATCTTTCAAGAACTATTCTGGCTATGAATCACACTGCAGTGAATTGACCCAGCAAGGTCTCTTTCTAGCACTGTTCAACCTAAGTGGTTGCTGACTGTTAGAACTTAAGCCATGACTGTTCTGTGCAAATGACCTGCAATCCAACTAATGAAGAATTATTGCTTTCATGCTCTAGCTTTGAATGATAGGTAAACATGCTTTAATACTGGCTTGTTATTTTTCCAATAGATCTTATACTTCCCCAAGGAACTGGAGAAGTCAACATTGCTAACTTCATAATTGCATGGGGAAAATAATTATCATTATTGCCAATCAATGGTACAGTTTCTCTGAAGCTTTGAAAATGTGTGAACATGTTTCCTGGATTTGAATTCAATTTTAGTGTTTCTTTAGTAGGATAGAAAAAGAGTACCTAGATCTTTAATGGCCAAAAGCAAAGGAAATGAAAAAACAAAAGTTTTTATAAAAAAGTAAATTGAACATTTTCTAAATCATCCAGTGTACAAGGTATTTGCATGATCAGGAGACACAGGATATCTCAAGCATCAATGTGCAGAGGAGCAGTTGTAGAGACTGAAAAGAGTTCCATACAAAAGTTAAATCTTTTGTTCAGTCCAGGCTTCATAATAATAATGTAACTTTTGCAACAAAAGATGCAAAATAGTAATCCTGCACTGGATGCTAAGGTAGAGAAGATCTCCACAGCCACCATGGACTTCCCTTTGGTTCCCAAGTAGGCTAGGAAAAATGACAGCTAAACACTGCAAAACACTAGCATGCCGAAAGTGATGGCTCCATTGAAGCTGTCAGGCAAATTCCTGGCTAGGAAAGCCACCATGAAGCTAACCTGTCAGGGGAAAAACCTCATTAAATACGGGAGACAGACACACCAGAACATAAGTCACTTCAAAGTTCTAAAAGCTTTATTAAATGTTA